GGCGGTCGACTCTTTTACGGGTCAACACTTCCATTATTTTCCCAGTCCCCTGGAAACGCACCGAAAGAACAGGGTGAAGGCGCGACCTATACACCGTTAATGATATTCAGACTCTATGACCTCCGATTATGCACGATAATCGCGCAAGCTCGATGCGCGATGACAAAATTTGATCCTTTTTGTTACCGCTGTGATTTCCAAAACCGTGCACTTAGCAAGAAATTTAACTTCCGTTTAAGAACCAAGGCATGCGCAGAACAACCGGAACTGCAGGATTTCTGCGGTCGAGATTTGATGTCCCCAGAGTCTTCCCTGGCAAGAGACCTCATGTGTAGTTTGTCCTAATATATAATCACTGTACTTGTTCATTGTTGAATGTGTATGCTATTTTGCTTTTACACTACGAATAAAAGTGTCTTTAACGATTGATTTAACAATTGTCCACAGGAAAAAATGCCTCCAGAATGTTAATATCGTTTACAATATTGTGTTTGGCACTGTACTTGACGGCAATATATTTTCTATATCTGTTTCAAATCAAAAACGGATAGAAACCTTAAAATGTCGATAAATACGTACCGTGAAAACAATTTACATGAACGCAGTTTCGCGGGCTCAGTAGATTTTTTTTGTGTAGGGTGACTGAGATGACTAAGGTATGTGCAAAGTTACAACAACAAAAACAACAACAATAACAGCAACATCAAGGTTTATTTGCATGAATGGGTCAAAGTAATGATACAATATTGCAAAAGCTACTAAAATTTAGTATTTAATTGTTTCGTGTTCAAATAATTAGAAAGCTTTATAAAGGGAAGAAAAGAGATAAACAAATGGTAAAAAAATTAATTACACAATGCGGGTATTGGTAAAACAGCAGTTCCTACTGGCATAATTCAAAGCCACCGTCTGTTGCAGGCATTTAGTCGCACTTGTCCTGGCTAACCGCCCATCACTGACTAAATGTAGGCCATCCTACTTCGGTATTTAGAGGGGCGTAGCTACCTGTGCGCAGTACGCACGATACGCGTTTGCGTACCTGAAAAAAGTTGTAAAATTAGTTGTTTTTTTCCTCAAAAGCAGAAGCAGTCCCTATATTTAATGACAATTAAGATTTGACGGAATGTCTTTGTGTTTCTCATTGCGGAAGTCGTTTTATAAATTAACATTTATAATAGATAATGCCAGGATTTTTTCAGAGGTTAACGCATAATTTTTCAAACCCGCCCCCTTCCCACCCCCTCTTCCCATTTCAAAATCACAAATCTGTGCCTTGATTAAAGGTGAGGTTATTTTGTAAACCCGTGGGTTTTAACTGTATGTAAAATGACGTAAGTACGAAATAAAATTCTTTTTCGTTGGGTTCATTGACTAAAGGCAGTCAATTGCTTATCATAGATTAAGCCAATTTAATTTGAGATACTACGAGCTAGTAGTATCTCAAATGAGTCATCAGGCGTTGTACAGGCCATTGCTCTAGAAATAAAATATTTCAAGAAAAAAAAAGAAGTAAGAACTGAAAAAGAAAAGAAAAGAATCAAGCAGAGGTAAATGAATTGAGGTAAACTGTGCTTATTTAAGATCACTTCGCTTTTTCAAGTTTTCAATTCATATTTTATATAAATTTATATATAAAAAAATCACATACCAGCATTCTAATAATTCTCTCCACATAACTTCATCGAAAGATTCAAGCGCGAAAAATTGCATGTGAAGGGAGGGGCATGGCTGGCTAACCTGTGCAAAGCCGCCAAGAGAAAACAGTGATTTTTTTTCCACACATTTAATTGGATTATTTTGAGAACAAAAAAAGTTTATTTTTTTCAGCGATGTAGTACCCAAGGTTTATTTACTAAGAAAGACACGAATCTAGAATATTTTGTTTGAACCTGTGATTTGCTGAAATTGATTCCCTGTGGCAAAAGTTTTAAATCTTTGATACAAATACAATGTAGGCCAGTTTGGAATTATCAACATCCATACTTGGCCTTGAGGCTGAGGAGAATAAATCAAAAGAAAACAATTATTTATCCGTGAACCTCAATGCTATTTATTAATTTAATTTATACCCCTCATAAGCCAAGTATGAATCAGTTTTGGTAGATTTATTTAGTATGTCTTTAATGACCAGCCGGTGTTACCGTGACATCTTAAGACTTTCCAAAATAGATTTTGCAGTCACTGCAAAACTTTGGTTATTTTATCCACATACAAAGACATCCATAATTTTCGGCTACATTCGATCATTTCTTTTATCCTCCTCAAGACACTAAAATGCTCCCGAAACAACTGAGAAACTAGAATAATAAAAGATGTGGAATTATTTTCAATTGATTGAGTATTAAAACAAAGTTTATTTAATTCATGTATTTTGTAAATCTCAGCGCATAGTATGCGCCTCAGCTTTTGGCTGATAAAACCAATAATTGAATTCTGGGTTAGTTTATATTAATATTAAACAGAAGAATGCATTTATTTACAATACATATGCCAGGTAAATTTACGTCATACCATAACATTTAAACTTTCCTAGCGTGTGGTAACCGTATTCACCAGAATGGCCAGTATCTCCAAACCTCAACTGTATGACAGGAAGGCGAGACTTTTCAGTAAGAAGGCCGCTGTCCTCGCGCCATACTGCATCATTTTTATCGCAGTTGCATCCTTCACTGCTGACCACACATGAATTCGTCACCCCACATGCGCACTTGTTCGAATCAGCCGGCGTTGCACCACCCCAGTACGTTATTTTAATGTTGTCACGTGATACCCACCAACCGTATCCATTAATGAGAAGCCTGGAGTGCAAACATTCGTACTTGATAAACTGCTCACAATTTGTTGAGTTAGTTGCAAGGGCAGCTAACTGAGGAACACTGGCTCCTATGTAAACAACATTACGCACATAGCTTCCTGCAGCTTCATATCCTTTCACCAAAATTCTATCTTCACTGTCATGACCAACGACTGTCACGCCAACTCCCTTCTTGTCAGTCATGTCACAGAAGACACTGAAGGGCTGGTAGCCTCCTTCACTATCAGGATCAATAACGTAAGAACCACTTGTGGCTTGTGGACTGTGCGATTTTATTTCACTGCATGTTTTTCCTTAATGGACAAAAGTGATAATAATCAAACAGTGAAGAACATTGGCCAGAAAGTCCAAAAGAAGGGGGAGGGGATGTTCACAAATAAAACGACTGAAACAGGTTGTAGCTGTCTTCTTAAATCTGTTTTTCCTGACAGTTTTTCGACGTTCATCAATGTTGTTAGTAATGGAAAGAAAGAGCGTAAAGTAACTTTGAAGAGGAGAGCACCATAATGCTGATAGTGATAGTGATAGTGATAGTGCTAGTGATATTGTTGAATTTACTGGCAGAATCCAAATTGCATCAATTTTTCCTCTTACAGCGAAAAATAATCAAAATCAAGAAGTTCGCTAAGACGTTACTGATCTTTACAAATAGCAGGGATGTCATGATGACGTCATTTATTTTTAATGATGGAACTAGAATCATCCGTCACCTAGGATTCGCCATTTTGAATATTAAATCTATTTCATTTTTAAAGGAACAAAATGCACATTTTTGAATCATGGCTGTCAATCCTCGGTTTCCTTGGCAACGTCAATGTTGCCACACACGTCACCATGACTTTCATCTCCCAGAATGCTATACTCTTTATTAATTGCGACAAGTACTTCAAGTGCCCAGTTTTTCCATGCGCGGCATAATAATTGAATAAATATAGGCTTTCGGAAAGACAGCTAAATGCCGACTACTCTTGTAAAAAACCTATTTTGAATATTTCTTCTTTGTCTCCTCTGCAGTTACAATTTAGAATTTGCCGTTTTAGAAGTGGTCGTTACAATAGAAAAATCTCAAATTTTGATTAGCTTCATAGTAATTTGATAATTTGTCATTTATATACGGTAAACATCGCAAATTATATTTCCATAGCAGTTCAAAAAGAAATCGTTCTTTTTATTCATAAAGGTACTTGATTCTTATTCATTAAACTTTTCTTGTCGTAAATTTGCCACTGAGATTTGTTCATCATGCACTTTGTTTTGTTTCAAGTTTTGTTTTATTAGTATTTATTCGTTTTAATAATTTTTCACGTGCAAACAAAAAAGCGTCGAGCATACAGTCAACTCTCCACGCTTCAGAAAACCGTCTAATATTTTACACGTCCCCTGTTAGTTTTATTGGGCTTAAAACTGCTAGCATTTAGATAAGGTATTTTATGCATTTGTTATCTATTTAGGAATGTAAAGCAAGTGGCTAGGCGCTAAAATTACGCATTTCTGGGAATAATTTCTTTTTACATATCGTATTCACGTCTGATTCGTCTGAATAAAAAAATGGCCATAACTTCATTGAAATTTAGCCGGAGTATTATACGTAGTAGACGGAGAATTCTCCGATCTCCGATGCTTTACCTTGACGATCGCAGTTAAATCCAACTAATCCTGGCTGGCACGGATACTATGGGTAAACGAAGTAAAAACAAAGTTAGCGACTACACCCTATTAACTTTTGCACATGTAATTTTTGGTTTTATCACCTGAGTGCAGTTGTTAAATAAACAATACAATTTTTCGAGCAATGATAGAAAAGCGATGGTGAGTTTTAATCCTGGTGAATCTGACATGAATGACAAGGTGGCTCTGTCGGAAGAGGTGAAAAATCCGAGTTCTCCCAATAGGAATCAAACCTATGTCACTGACTGGATAAACATCTTTCTCAACTTTCCGAACATTAGGCCTTTCTTCTACAGCACTAGTTTAGAAATGGTTTGTTGTATGTGGCCAAACATGGAAAAAACATTGATCATAAAGGTTGAGACCGCTTAATTTTAAGGTGAAGCGTTCCACCACTGCATTCTTGTATGTACTGCGTGTTTTTTTTTCTTTTTTTCGGGGCTCTACTGCGTCGCTTTTTTGATAGTGGCGCCACTGGATTTGAGTAAAGCTGCGATTTTCAGTGGGTTAATTTGCATGGTAAAGTCTCTAAAAAAATTATCATCACTACTATTTAATTAAGGAACCGCGAGTAGAGAATTTAGTCAAACCAATAAAACAATGTGAAATTGAGCAAGTTTCTTTACGATAAACAGGGACAAAGGAATAACAGTAGGCTAATTTCATCAACGTGAAAGAGAATTGCTGATATATTTAGATCCTAAATTACAAAAAGTATTCGTAATAGATCTCTTTCAAGTTCTTCATTCTAGAAGCCATCATTGTTTAAACGTTCATTTGCAGGTTTGAGTTAATCAACTTTACAATATAGCATATAAGAAAAACTAAAACATTCAACTTACCCAAGGGCTGTAATGATTAAAAGCGAGGTTCACTTGAAGATCATCTATAGAAACTCTATGTTTGTCGATGTCTAGCAATTCGCACAAATAAAGATTTTCAGAGTCAGGACTCGCCGCGATGTTAAACGATTTGCACAGGGTCTCACTTACACAGTTGACCGTGCAGTCAATTATGTCTGAAACAAGGGAAGAGGCGATCGTAGTTCCTACTAACTTCTGGTGTTGGTCTAGTTGAAAATTCCCAAAGGCACTTTGGCGCTTTAAGTCCCGATAAAGGTTGGCTTTCGGGAACGTTGCAACAGCGTTGTACAGAAGGGATATGCTTATCAGAACATTTAAAATGGTTACAGCCATGTTTTTGCAGTTGAATTCATGTCTATTTTCAGTACGGTAATGAAACACCCAACTTTATGAGCTCAGCGAATCTTGTTATTTTTAATTACTCACCTTTTGGGAATGTTTATAGAATCATATTGCGGATCAGTTGCCTTAGGGAAACAAACCAAAAGGCAATCAAGAATTAGACAAAAAATACATAGTCAAATGTAATTAATTTTTTAACGAGGAGGCTAACATCAAAGAGTGCTGTACACAAGGGTCCCTAAACAATCTCATATAGATTACACTGTTTATGGGGGAGGGAGTTACTGCAATGTGTTACTATTTGGTGCTAAACCGAAACATATTTTAGTCTCGGCAACCCCCTCCAGATACTTCATAATCTTACTTTAAATAATTAAAGGCCTGGGATAAATTTGAAAAGGCCTGATTAAACTTTCCTTCTGTAGTATCTACACATGTTGGCAAGGAAATGTCACCAAGGACGAGCTAGTGATTATATGCATTTGATTTCTAACGTGTAGTTTCGGCTTCAACGATGCCAGTCTGTTCCTTGATAAAGAGGAGCACGGCCTTATGGAGAAAAGGTGTGAAGAGCGAAAAATAAATCGACACACAAAGCGACCCGACTTTTCCCTCGTTCACTTCTTTTCCTAACCCAGAAGCCTGACACTAGGGTAGAAAAGAAAGAAAAAGTTTATATATAGGGCGGAAGTCGGCAATGGCATTTATAACTCCGCCTATCCTTGCCGAGAAAAAAAAAGGCCTCTGAATCGAAGATTTACATACCACTAGTATTAAAATTATAAAATGACCGTGAAAAATGGTTCTTTAATACTAAGAACTGTCGGATCTTAACAGGTGTTTACGCCTCAGTCTTCGAGCCGCTACAATCACGCTTTGCTGTATTTCCCCTCTTGTCAAAGTTAATCTTTCGGGTAGTTGGTTTGTTTTGCTCCAAAAAGGGCCAAATTTCTAGTGATTTGCATGGACAAGAGTCTAATCTATATCCCAATTCAAGCTGCTGATAAGCACTATTTATCATGATTGAAAGCAGAGCAAAGTAGATCCGACGACTCTAGATGATTTTTATTATGATTATGATTATGATTATGATTATGATTTGTTATTTTTTCTCTAGCACAGCGTCTACCGAATGGCAAAAACAATTAAATGGAAGCAGCCTTGTTTGGACGAAAAGGACCTGAAACTTTGATGACGCTTTTAACTCTTTGTTTCAATGGTTACTTGTGCTTCCATAACTTATCTCCTTTTGACTGGGCAGTGGTATAACAGATCTAAGAGAATTAAAAAGAGTGATTGCCTTGATAGTTTTCAGATTTTAGTTAAAACTATCAAAGGAAAAGTGCAGAGAAATTTCTTTGCTGAAAGCCATCTACTTAAGCTGAAGAGAACTTACATCAAGTTTAGCGAGATGTGGCAACATATTCCTTCACGTTTTTGGAAGCAGGAAGAAGAAGGCAAAAAATAAAAATGTCTAGACAAATTAAATAATAATAATAATAATAATAATAATAATAATAATAAAATAGGCGATAGGAGATGCGACAATCATCATTACTGTTTTTATAGCCTAAGCCATTCCATAACACCTTAGTTTCCCAAGCGTATGATAGCCAGCCTCACCACTTCCGGTATCCCCAAACCTTAATTGTATCACAGGAAGATGATTTTTGTCATTGAGATTCCCACTATCCTCATGCCAGGAACTACCAATATTTGCATCACAGTTGCAACTATATGAGGTATCTACACATGTGTTTGGGGATGTAGCCCCGCATGCGCACTTTTGGAAATCATCCTGAGAAGGCTCCACCCCAATACAACTTCTGAACGCTGTCACGTGATACCCATCAGCCTGCTGCTGCAGAGCGGAAAAGCAGACTACCTCTACACTCGTATTTGATAAACTGCTCGCAAAATGAAGAGAGCATCGGAATGCCAGATATTTGCGCGACACTGCTCACTCCTGCCCCGATGTAATGAACATTTCGCACATAACTTCCCTTTTCCTCGAAACCATCTACCAGAGTTCTATCTTCACTGTCGTGACTAAGTATAGTCACACCGACTCCATTCCTGTCTATCATGTCACAGTAGACGCTGAAGGAATTGTATCCTCCTTCGCCGTCGGGATCAATGACGTATGAACCACTTGGGGCTTGAGTGCTACGAGATTTTATTTCGCTGCAGGTTTTACCTAAGTGGAAAGAAGAAATACATAATAGGACAATTAGCTTTGCGTTAAGTCCTCAGTATATTGATGAGCAGGTTTTATCCTAGAAAAAAAAAAAAAACAGCAACAACAACCAAACAAACAAACGACCAAACAAACAATAATCACCATTTACAGTTAGTCTGTCAATGGCCAATCGTTTACAGCTGTCTCTCAAAACTTAACGATAATAGCTAGACCACAGGAAACATTCTTCCCATGTAAGGGAATCTGGATTCCGAAATCCAGAAAAATTTTGCTTGTGGAATCCGGAATCCAAGTTCCATTGACAAAGAATCCAGAATCCAGTGTCTGGAATTATTACTTTTACTATTCAAATACATTTCACTTTCTCGTGATTACTTGAGCCGATAAAAACTTACCTCGGAAGTTTTCATGGATACTTCTGGCAATTTCTCCTAGAGAAAAACAGTCGCACGCGAAATTTTGTCTCCCCGTGGGCAACAGCCATTTGCCCATGGGTAGTCAACCGTGCCTATTTTAAGTATGTAAGCGGAGGCTTGATTCGCTTTTATCGCGTGCTCAATCTATTTATTATGTCAGTATGTATTTCAATAGTGTTGTTAGTTTTAACTGAAAGCTTTGGATTTAGACGAGGAATCGGCATTAATCATTCAGTCTATATGTTCAAACTGGTGTGACTGATGTACCTCTTCGCTCGCAGTGCTTCCCTGCAAACCCCGGATGACAATCACAGCTATAAGAATAGTTTTCAAAGTCAGGAATACAGTCACCATTGTTTCCACAACGTTATTCTTGACAAGGGTCCTGCATAAAATGAAACAAAATAAGCAGAAACAAAACCTAAACAGAATTTTGAAACGCTGGCACATTTAAAATTTAGGAGACAAAAAACATATACCATAATTAATTTTTTTTAATTATTGACTCCGGTCCTAAGGCCTATCGAACATAGTTAATCACCCACAACTAGACATGGGCCTTTGGGGCTTCGCACTATGTCCCTTCGACCGCCAAAATACAAAAACAGAAGCTAGATCAAGGTCTTTGACTAAAATCTGCCGTTTTATAATTAAGTTGATATTTTATTTATCAGGAAAAGTAAATATAAAAGAGAGAACCGATTGGACGCTTGCTGGCAGTACTAGAACTGAATAGTCAGTTTCAAAAACTAAATAAATATGCTTCACCTCTGCTAGTTTGAGTCCGACGAAGGAGCTCTCTTGTAGCTAAAATTTACAAATACAAGAAAGAAAGAATTGAACAGAGTAGTTGCAACTACACTTACCCAAAGGCTGTAATGATGAAATGAAGAATTAGGTTGGAACTTTGTTTTAGCTCTGTATTTGTCAGTGGCCAATAGTTCACACAAATAAGAGCCTGCTAAGTCTGGATATCAGGCTGTGTTGCATGAATAACACCTTGGTTCATTGACACAGCTAAAAGGACACTCCGACTGTTTCTCGACTAAAAAGGAAGCAATTTTTTCTACAGCTCCTAAGGAATGGTTTGAATTCCGTATGAACTTGGCATAAGAGAGAAATTCTTTGTATTGACGGCTAACAGCGCTTTTCTTTTCAACCACAACAGGGGACGCTTTAGGCAGACTTGAAACCAGAAATAAGGTACAAGTAAATAACGCCGCCATCTCTGATACATTCAACTGAAATGAAAGCTACAGGCAGCTGCCACTTTGTTTTACCATAAATACTTCATGAAGAGGTGAAATTAACAGACATCAATAATCCGGCAAGTAAACAAATTTATTGAATACTCTGTTGACAGTTACCAATCTTGCTGATTACTAGACAGGTGGTTCCCTTTTGAGATTCACTTCAATATAAATTACGTTCTCGAGAGCATCCACTTTTGTTTAATCATCAAAATTGGGACCACTCGTTCACTCAGTGTGCTATAATTGTCTATTTCAGTTGTGTTTTGCATTCCGCAAATCTCTATAATTAGACGCGTGCTTTCCTGAAAATAATGTTACTTAAGGTGTTTTGATACAGGCTTTCGGAGACCGATATTTTTCATTCGCCTTAAAGGTAATTTTATCCTCGTCCAATCACTGTGAAATTTTCAAGCTTTTTCACCACTGACTGATTGATTGGATTGAAGTTTGCCAAAATGTAGTTTTAAGTAAAAACCGATATCACTATGACCACAATAGATCAAAAAATTTGAAATGGATAAAAGCCGAATTTCGCGCGTTCTAGATCTGCTACTGAAAATCCTACACCAGGAACTTAAAGCGTGATGTTTAGCAAATACCTTCCGTGAGAATTAACAAATTTTGTATGTTTGAATTCAAATTAAACGTAAATATTTTTCAAACCTTATATTTTCAATGGTCGTGATGAATTGTTTAATAAAAAAGTTCCAAATAATTCAAATTGATCTTAAGTAGTGTCAGTGAATGGTGAAAATTTCATAGCGATCAGAGAAGGATAAAATCATCGTTAGGGCGAATGAAAAATATCGGTGAGTTATCCAAAAAGCTGTATCGAAACACGTTTATAGTTAACAATTATTATTTGAAATCGAGGTGAATAGTGGCTGAATTATTTACCAAGCCGCAAAACGGAGGGGTAAATATTCGTAAAGCCACTATTGACCGAGATTGAAAAGAATAATTGTTTTAGTGTGGCTAGCTAGTATATACACACGAAGTGACCTCAAAAAAATCAGGAAGGAAAGTAGGATTTGATTTGACGGATCAAATCATACGAAAGTCAGAATTTTCAAACATAACAGTTCAGAAGTTTATCGCTTCACAAACAACAGCGTAATGGCTTAAATGTAACCGTTACTTTCTGTTTACTCGCCAATTTTAAAGCGCAGAAGCCAACAAGGCTTTTTGTGTCGTTCTTCGCATGAGGTGCAGACATGGCGGCTCGGTGTTGCTCGAGGTAAGACGTCGTTTTCCTTTAGCATTCTTTGTACTTAGTACTTGGTTGAAACGTAGGATTTCAGTAAACATTTGCTTTCATTTTTGTTTGTAATAAATATACTTTGATTTTTGGGCCAAATTTTTCTCGTTAGGAAAAGCTGAGTTCCGGAATAAACAGGAGTTGTAAACAATCCCTCGAGCAGAAAATTCGGGTACAGTAAATGGAAAAACGCCGTTTTGAATCCTTCGAAGTCTTCTCTTGCCTCAAAAAAAGTCAACCCTAGGATTTTGTCGACTTTTAAAAGATCGTTATTTAAAAAGAAAAAGGGGGTAAGACACCTAGTTCACGCATTATCCACTCGCTAGAAGGTAAATATTGTTGAATATTTCGAGATAACGAAACAATCCAAAATGCTTAAATCACCAAGATCACTGAGTGTGTATATACTAATGTTAATCAGCTCCCAAGGAAACAAGTTAATGTTGATAAATGGGACGACTGCAAGTCATTTATCTTGAAGTCATTATAAGATATATACATAAAACTAATATTCTACTTTCGTTTTTATCATATTTTTTTATTCTGAATTACTCCGATTGCCAGTTCTATTTCCATCTAATCCATCGCTTGTAAAATGTGCGTCGGGCTCGCCACTCTCACCGACGGCAGGTGTGTCTCTCATCACCTTGCCAACCCATTGACCAATGATACCGTGCGTTTTTAGCTTTAGCCAATTAGGCCCGGTTCCCTAGGTTAATTAAAAAAGTTCTCAACGACACAAGTGTTCGCGGAAACGGGAATTTGAAATAAATAAACATTGTTTTGGCTTCTCTAGATGCCCTGAAAGTAGTTTTTGGAAAAATCGATTTACGTTTGGGAGGGGCTGGTAAGGATAAAGACTGGTTTAGATCTTCGTCTGCATTTGTACAATTGTTTTGTCATCTCTGCTCTTTCAGCCGTGAAAACACTATCTCAAGGGTTTAAGGCCTGGGTGAAAGATGTGTTCTGAGCATATGAATGATTCGCAATATCTCTCGCCAGGAGACCTAGAACAAAAGGAAATTTTCCCCAAAGTGAATCTTGAGGTTTTCTCGTGCATTAACGTTTATAATTGTGGTCAAGTGACATGTCACGTGACCAAAACTCTTTAGCGAAGAGAAGTTGAACCGAGAAAGCTACGGAGCATTGATCATTCTTTTAAATTGCTTGACTTCCCAGTCACACGAATTAACTTACATGTAAATCACGACTGAATTTTTAAGAGCACGCTTCTAGTGGCATCTGGACAACATCATGCACTTTTGTTCCAAGGCTAAAACCTACACTGATGAAGGGACAGCAGTCCGAAAACATTTTTCCTGCTCAAAAATATCTATAATTATTGTTCTCTTAGCATTCTCTATATTATAAGCCCTTCACAGTTTTCATAAATAAGAGGTGTGTTTACTTTCCATCCGATGTCTTCCTTTTGAATTTATGCAATACCGTAACATATAAACTTTCCCAAGGTGTGATAACCATGTTCATTAACTCCAGCCGTATCTCCAAATCTTAACTGTAGCACAGGAAGGTGAGATTTTTCATTGAGAAGACCGCTGTCCTCACGCAAGACAAGATCGTTCTTATCGCAGTTGCATCCTTTGCTGCTGTCTGCACACGAACTCGTCAGTCCGCATGCGCATTTGTTGGAATCACCGGGTGCGGTTCCACCCCAATACGTCATTTGAACATTATCACGTGATACCCACCAGCCAAATGAATTCCCGTTTGCGAGAAGTCTGCTTCCTGCACATTCGTACTTGATGAACTGCTCACAATTTAGAGAGACAACGGAAAGCCCAGTTAACTGTGCAATGCCCCTTAGGCCCGTCCCAATATAAGTAATGTCACGTGCGTAACTTCCTTTGGGTTCAGTTCCATTTACCAGAATTCTATCTTCACTGTCGTGACCAACGACTGTCACGCCAACTCCACTCTTGTCAGTCATGTCACAATGGACGGTGAAAGGTTCGTAGCCTCCTTCTCCATCAGGGTCAATTACACAAGGCCCACTTTGGATGTTTAGACTCTGAATCTTTATTTCACTGCAGGTTTTACCTAGCAGAAATCAGTGTTAGATAATTTATCAGTCAAAACTAGTCTTCTCTAACTGAGCTCTAGCTAAACTTTGAAACCAAATTAAATTCCGAAATTTATTATCTGTCTAAACTTTTGGATTTTTCTGCTTGAAATATCTCTACCGGTATGTACCGCAAAGCAGGCCGGTAAACGACAGGTTTGAAAGCATGGGCGGCCGAGTCACACAACATAAACTCAAGGTGCAAATCGTAGAGCAACAAAAAGCGAGATCCGCATTTCTCATTAATAAAGTAGAGGACACACGCAGATCAAAGCAACCTTTTGCTTATGTGCGGCCCTGGTAACAGTCCATTATAGAAAGACCTAACTAATCTAATGAAACGCAATCCAACTAGAATACTTTTTTTTTTGTAATGGTGGTGGTGGGGGCGGGGGGGAGTGGTTAGGGTTAGGGTTAGGTTAGGTTAGGTTAGGTTAGGGTTAGGGTTAGGGTTAGGGTTAGGGTTAGAAGAGACTATTACATTAAAATTCTGCGTGACAAATTAGGGGTAATGCATGGAGTCATAATGGCCTAAATTTATGCAGTCAAAAAAGGCATTCTAATCTTAAGTCCAAGCAGCTGCAGAACTATGAATACCTTAGAGCGACTCCGACACATGAATGATGCACAAATGTTGCAACTTGGCCTAAATAAGATGCAAAAATTCTGCATGGCCTTGATTATTGTCAGGTCAATCCACTAACAACACTACAACAAATGAATAATGCAGAAAATTTGCATCTCTCTTAGAAGGCTTTTGGGCAAAAACTGAATTTCTGATAGTCAATGGCCTCTTTACTGATGTCAAATTAAGCTTACTGCCACTGAAAACTGGGCAGCTTGTGTTGTTCTCATAACTATATTTTTTTAAGGGGACTCTTAATATAGGCTTCCTTCAAACGTCGCAATGGCCACCTGTAATGTGGTGTATGTATGTGTATATGTTTGTATAAATCATTGTAGTGAATTTCAGCTTATTATTTATTTTTAGTTGATATAAACAAAACGCCTAATTTTCTCATCCTGAATATTCGCCAGTAGATTTATAATTATAGAATTTAGGAAATCATGTAAAATTTCTGCTTCTTTGCTCAGTGCCGTGGGTTTTGGATGATGTATAGCAGCAAATGCAGAATTTCTGCTCTTAGCTCAGTTAGCTCAGTTCAGTGAACGTGAATAACTTAAGCCAGTAAACAAGATGCAGAGTTTTTATATCCTAATGGCAGAATTTTAGCTTGGATTTACCATAGCACAGAAAGTTTCTTCACGTATGACACTGATTGTTTAATCGAGATTGTCCAGGTTCTTCCTACCCTCCTCCATTATTTCCATTTTTTTGTTTTTTGGTCACTATCGCTCCCCCTTCCTTTCCCTTCTCTCTATAAATACAAATAAATAAATAAACGACTTAACAGCACTTCAACAAAGAGGCAGCCCAACGACTCTTTTCATTTCTTGCTGTTGCATCAAGGGACGGTAGAGAGTACTTGATGATCATAGCGTTAACCATTTTATGCATCAACAAAGCGACCATAACTATAGGATTCCACAGACAATGGACCAAAATTTCCCCTCACCACAAGATTAACGGTAATCTCAAGACCAATTTCGACGAAAACTCCGGTTTTTTTCCATCACCTCAAAATCCATTATTTGCAACCTTGATATGGAACGCATGAACGCGTGTAAACAAGTTACAGCATTACCAAACGAAAGAACACTTTAATGAGTTTGGTTTTCACTTACCTGTATTTTCACAGTGAATTCCAAAATGTCCCAGATTACAATGACAGCTGTAAGAGTTCAGTTGGTAATCAGGAATACAGTCACCGTTGTTCTTACAAGGTTCTTGATGACATAGACTCTAAAGTATCGAGAGAAAGAAAGGTCTGTAGTTAAATAGTTTCATGGGTGTTTACGTTCGAAGAGTTTGTATTAAATGGCTTACGTAGCTTTTTCTAATACACATCTGTTAGCAAAGCAGTAGGTTACTTTCGGATCCCTAATGCCAAAAGGACTCGGTCCAAACGTCGATTGAGCCGAAAAAATGGCACTTTGCAATTTATTGTTACTCCAATGAAGACTGAATAAATTTGAACTCACCCAAATAGCGAAGTGATGAAAGAAAGCATCAGGGATGAATTTCGCTTTTTCCCTGTACTTGTCAGTAGCTAGAAGATCACAAAGGTAAAGTCCTTTAGAGTCAGGGTACGCAGCAACGTTGCACGAATAACATTTTGGATCGCTGACACACTTCAATGGACACTCAGATTGTTTGTTGACAAAGAATGAGGCAATGTTTGTTGACTCTAATGTGTTGTAAGCATACTCTTCAAAGTTTCCGTGCGAAACTATATCGCTTTCATGATGATAGAGAGCACCTTGTTGTTTAACAACAATGCCAGCAGTAGTTTGAAGTGAGGAAGGAATTAGAAAGAAAACCAATGTAAATAGAACCATCTTGTAAAAATTTTAGTGAAAATGAATGCTGTCAGCAGCCGTTGTTTATATATTATGTGTGTTAATTGACTCGATCTATCTCCAGCTGCGTGAAAATTAATTAACTTAAACGCTGGTAAATTTTCAACAGTTATTTAACCTGCGTAGAAGGCGCTCGCGCGTCCGTTTTTTCTTGTGCTCACTACTTCCAAGCGCCTGCTACGCAGGCTACAGTTATTTGGCTGAGGTTATTTACTGTGATTTGTGATATCCAGGATAATCAAGGTTGAGGTAAGGGTTCCACCGAGGCTGATAACACTTACCGAACAGTAATCAAGACCTTGATTATTCCGGATATCCGAAAAATCGAGTCTAATAAATATTTTATTACATATTTTGAAGAAAATAAATGAAAACACATCGTCTCGCAGAGCGCCGTTTGATATTCTTACTGGAAATCATGCATTGCGCGCGCAATTGCAACCTACAGTGTATGATAAAAATAAATGAAAAGAAGAAAAGAACAGAAAGAAATTTTTCGGTTAAAATATTTGTTATTTCTAGACAGCTCAAGACACTATAACGTTATAATGAAAACTGCATAATTCTTAACGTCTCAAAGTTGCGTTTGAACGATCGGGGTCCAGCGATCTTGCTGTGATGCAAGGGATCTGGCCACTAGCAAAGGTCGTAAAGAGGCAAAACAAGCAGACAGGACGGGGACCATCAGAGATTATCCAGCGGAAGTTATACATTATCTCGTGGCAGTCGTAGCAATTAATTTATTTTTGCCCTATGTTCTCTTTAACTTTCGTCCTGAACACTTCAGTGAATTCCTGTTTGTATGGACAATGTTTTGCACCTACTTGACCACAGGTGCACCAAGCACACGAGTGATAATTGTTGCGTAACGGAAATATCATAAGGATTTACGTGGGGATTTTAGCGATCGTCTTTTAGGGAAAAAATAGCAATAAAGATTCATGAGAACATCTTATCTTGTCTCCTTGTTTTATTCATTGTGCGTTCTTAGCATATTTTGCCTTTGTATAGTTCGATTCCATAATTGGCTTACAGTTCTCGAATAATACATTATGTACATAGCCGGCAACTACGACAGAACTAAAATTCGATGGAATCCAACACAACGGATACCAAAGAGTTGACGTTAGGCTGCAAAAAAATAAAATAAATAAAACCGACAAAAACTCAATCTTAAACGCAAAAGGCTAAACCTTATCAATCAAAGAAGATATAAACTACCAGTTCATATTGTTCTTCCCTTCAGACCTCATTGAAAATGTTATAAATGGTATAATAAGTTCATATGCCAGAATAAAAATGCTATCAGGTTAATTTTATTTTCCTTAATTTTCTTATTGGTCACTTAGAAATTCATTTTCAAGTTCAGTTTGTTTTTTTGTTTGTTTTAAAGTTTCTATCATGAGGATGACAATATATATATGATATGTTACCAAACCCTAAAAAGCAAACGACGAGATCATCAGTAGCCGAACCACAACATCTATAAACGGAGAACATGGTCACTCTATCGTACTAAATTTCATTTTAAAATACTGAAATGCTGCTGCACATCATATAGTAAATAGAATGGATAAAGAAGAAAGAAAGGATGGTAAAGAAAAAAAACAGAAAAAGAAAACGAAAGTACCAATAAGAAGGTCAAAAAAAGCTACATGCGTCGTGTTTCCTGAATTGGACGAACGATTCCTCTTACAAGTAAAAAATTTCCCGCTTCTCAGATTGGCTTGAACACATTTCTGTTCGTAAACGCGCTGGCTAGAGAAAGTTGGCCTTATAATCATGGGTCATCATTAACCCATTCGCCCCTAAACAACACGTAACCGCTTGTTCGGGTCCACGTCCCTTGTACTCTTGACATTATTGTGATGTAATTTGTGTAGAAGATAATAGATCTTTCAAAACATACCAGAATGATCATGATTCAGTCAAGGAGCTAGGCCGGAGAAAAAAGCGACTATAAAACACGTAAAGCCGATCCATAAAGGTCCACTACCCACATACTCCTAAGATCCTAAAAACTTTCTCAAAAACTTTTCCCACTGAAATAGACCCTACTACCTGTCCAGCGAAAGAAAAAAGGGGCTAAGAGGAGCGAAAAAATGGTGAGAAGGGAAAGCAAAAGGGAAAAAAAAGACTGAAATTTTTAAATCCACATTTTGGTTTCTGCGCAATGAACCCGAACTTCACAAGCTGATATTTTGTATCTGGATAAGAAGGTCACGGATTCCACGACTTGTAAACGGCTTTTTGGAAAGTCTTAGCTCGTAATAGCCACAAGTGACCAGAAAACGGCTCGACAAGCATCAAAACGCGCTATTCGGCAAAGTTTTCCGGGGTAAATGGTTTAAATTAGAATTGAAACTCAATGCACCATTTTTTGTATAAATGTCTAAAAAGAGGGCATATTCTAAAGCTTAGGCTACCTAGCAAAAGCATTTTGAATAGCAGCTATTGAAACCATTTACAAAGGATCGCTCAAGTCACTGACGATTTCAGCAATTTAAGCAAATTAGATCAAGAAATCTCGGCAAGTGTACGTATGTTGCTAGAAAATACATATCAAACATATCAAGACCTAGCTGCACACATTAGGAGCTTTTGAAGTATTAATCCTATTTCAGGTAGCGCTTTTGTTTATTCATTGAGAGGATCAAAGGATGAACTTGGCTTAATTGGTTATTTTACATGTTTACATACCGTTACTTTTTTCACTCAACTTTTAATATATGTGCAAAGTTTCACGGCATCTATACTTAACAATGGACAACAGTATCTTATTGACACTTGCAAGAGGGAAGTGAATGACAGAAATTTATGGTTAGTGTTCCTCTCTCTTCCGCAGAAGCCTCTTTGAGTTGCGCCTTTTCCCTCTTCTCATCGTCCTCCACGAGCTTTCTATTTATTTTTATTGGAATAACTAACGCGCATATAACGGGAGCCTCTGCGGGGGAGAGAGGTTAGTGCCCTCTGACGAAATTTGTCTGATAACTCTACCGGAGCATTTTGTGTATGGGTAAAGGCACTAACTTCTAACTGACTTCAGCACAGAAATAGCCTAAAACCACAATCTCATGGTCTTTATATAGCCTCTTTAAGATATTCCGTAGCACTTGAGTTTCCCAAGCGTGTGGTAACCGTATTCTTGTGAACTCCCTGTATCTCCAAATCTTAGCTGTAAAACTGGGAGATGAAACTTTTCAGTAAGGAGACCGCTGTCTTCACGCAACACTTCATCATTCTTATCGCAGTTACATCCACGGCCGCTGTCTGCACATGTGTTGGTCACGCCGCATGCGCACTTGTAGGAATCCGCAGGGGTTGCCCCTCCCCAGTACGTCATTTGAACGTAGTCACGTGAGACCCACCATCCTTCTGGGTTCCCCATCCACAAGAGGGCAGTGCCATGACATTCGTACTTGATAAACTGCTCACAATTAGTAGAGATGTCCAGAAGACCAAAAAATTGTGCACCGCTTGTCAGGCCTGCTACTATGTAATGAATATCACGTACATAGCTTCCTGAACCTTCATATCCATTGACCAGAGTCCTGGTTTCACTGTCGTGACCGACAACTGTCACGCCAACTCCGTTCTTGTCAGTCATGTCACAATGAACAGTGAAAGGTTCGTAACCTCCTTCTCCATCAGGGTCTATAACATAAGAGCCGCTTGTGGCTTGTGGACTGTACAGTTTTATTTCACTGCAGGTTTTACCTAATTTGGTTAGATACATGTAAATAAAAAAACACACAATTACATAGCGTACATTGACATAGGTGGCTGAACACAGTTTTTGCAGTTTGTGAGTATATGTCATTTGCCAAATCATGTCAAGAGAAAGGTTGCAGCTCACAAGCTAAAACTTGGCAAGTGAGTAATAAACTGATGAAAAATTTTGATTGACGGGTAAAATTCGACGTTTTCATAGTTTCCATGGCAACATGAACGATTTAATACAACTTTAAAATTCCACTTTTGCTCAGTTTACATAAAATTTGGTCATAAGATTTTCCTATAGATTTGCACACGGCTTACTACAATTAATCAATACCATTTGAAACCTATTTGACCAAATTTTAACAGACGGGTTTTTAGATAATCAATAATATAATTTTTCTTTAATTATTAAATGTGTCACAAAATTCGTCTCTTAAACTTCCATTTTAAAGTCCTCAACATTTAAAATACGATAAAAGTAAAAATTCTGCCAAATATCACAAAATTTTAATGAGTAAATTTTGAGAAATCGTCTTCTGTGTACCATTACTTTTTCGCTGCCATGTTTGATTGTTTAACTTAAAACACGCGCCGTCACGTAAGTTACAGCTGACCACCCTCAAAACTGTGTTCAGCCACCGTAACTAAAGAACAGGCACCTAATCGTCTACACAAGCTTTTTTGCCATTTCAAGTGTTTAACAAAGACCGAAGAAAGAAAGATGGAAGAGAATTAAAGCAATACACAGTATCCAGTTATAAAAAGACTCCAGCATACATTGGACAGCTATCAAAACTTACAGTGCCCCTGGTTTTGATCGCCGATTAAAGACTTTCCTCGCATTTGCATTTCACTTTCAATAGAAAGCCTGGTTAGTTATTTGCTATTGTTTTTCTAGAGGCAATAAAACAATTTCTTTTTACGTCAAATAAATCGCTTGTCCTGTCGACTTGTTTCAGGTTCCACCAAACAGGACGCTATATAATAAACATCTTATTAGCCTCAGTTTCTTTGTTCAAACTGTAAATTACGTATCCTCGGGGTTTTTCTTAACACGGACCTCAAACTCGACCAATAAGAAGTACATATAATACAACGAAACATAACGTTACTAAGTAGAATAGCTATCCCTTTTGTAAAACGATATTGAAATTACAAAACGGTTCTCATTTGTTACCTCGTCTTTCACAGAGAACTCCCGCAAAACCCAGATGGCATTTGCAGCTGTAAGTGTTAAGGTGAAACTCAGGAAAACAGTCACCATTGTCCCCACAAGGTTCTTGTTTGCAAGGAGTCTGAGTTAGAAAGGAAAGCAACCAGGTTAAAAAATAATATTTTTTCTTGGAGGAATTTGCATTTTCAAGGAGATCTGTTTCGTGGAGATCAACTTGATGATCTCGGAATAATTTAGTCTTGGAAGTTGGAATGAAGCGGATATACTACCCAACTTCATTTATCCTCTCTTGGCTACGCTAAAGCTGATTGACTAACTTGCTCATTATCAAAAGATGAATAAAATGAATTTCATATATTTCAACCGCAGAGTGATGAAATAAATAAAGAGAAGGTCCTCGCAGTTAAAGAAGCAACTTATCCAGTTGCAAAAAGAAAGCCTGAAAGAATTCAGCGAGAAGCCAGGATTCGAACCCTGAACTCTGCAATCCTGTTGCAGTGTTTTAATCAATGCAGCTAGCAAGCCAACTGCGAGCACCGGTATTGCAGAGTTTGGGGTTCGAATACCGTTAAGACTGTGAATTAGTTCAGGCTTTCTTTTATCGTAGGAGAGAACCCTGGGAACGAGATTGTAACGGCATGATGGGTAATCAGGACGAGATGGTGGGAAAATCAAAGGTTTGTATGGGAATAGCCTGCGTAGCAGGCGTTTGAAAGTAGTGGGCACAAGAAAAAATGGGCACGCGAGAAGGAGACACGCGAGGAGACATCCCTCGCGTGTCTCCGTCGCGCGCGTCCGTTCTCTCTTTCACCCACTACTTCCAAGCTCCTGCTACGCAGGCTAGTATTGGAATACAAAGTCAACTAATTCTTGCTAATTGAATTTAGTTTTTACTAAAACAGTGGATAGTGTTTTTTACTGTGCGCTCTGATTGGCTACTCGAACTCGAAATATCCAGTGCAATTCACTGATTCATCTCCAGGTTCCGAGGGATGCCAAACGTGCAAGTTAGGGAGGAAAACAGCTTCCCTGTTTGCTGCCATAACAAACGATGACATTTCACAAATAAACGAAGAAGCTGTTCCCGAAATACACGAACAAGGCGACAAAATCCGGTTTGGCAGTTTTCAGAGGTAAAGTTTTGTCTGTTTAACCTGAATTTGTCGATTAAAGGGGTGAAAAAATTTCTTCTTTACCAATGCAAATTAACGGAAGTCTTGCGTTACCTTATATATTTTATAGCTGAAATGTTCATAAATAACTAAATGAATGGTTTCATTTGGTTTTACAGAATGATTTCAAATACAGAAAGAATTTACAGCTCTTTTTAAAGAAATGTCTCTGCAACAGCTAAGCAAACGCCTACAAAAGTTTTTATATTTATCGGCAATAAAACGTGGTAGCCGCTCGGTAACATACACGCTAAAGTTGCAACCGTTTCCGTTATTAATGAGTTAAAAATCATCATTTTAGACTCAATTACCTCACTGTTTTGGAAAAATTAATGGTTGGCAACGTATTTAAACTGGCTCAAGATCTGAGTACAATTATGCGCAATTTCATTGTTTAGATCTCGACTTGTGATTGGCCATTTTCAAATTTTATTCCGAAATTCTCTCTGGGTGGCCTCGTTTCGAGTGGTCGCACTGTAAGAGCCATTAGCGAACGATACAGGACGTTTAAAAGTTACGTTAAACAAGCGATGTTGGCTCATTCAAAATAGGGACCGTAAGCAACTACGACGACGACGACAACAACAACGTCAAAAAACAATTGATTTTATGATCAAAACAACAGCGCCAGTGGCCGATCCAGGGGACCCCCCGCCCCCCACCCTTATTTGTAGATCAACCTGAGGCCCGGGGGACCGAAATAAAATTTTTTGGGAGACTGTCCCTCCCCCCCTTTTCTAAGGGTCTGGATGAGCGTCCCCCTTTATCTCAAGGAGGTCTGGATCCAGCAGTCCTGTTTTAGTACATTTCTTTTACGTCCACTGCACGACTGCGACGTGAAACCTCCTAATGCCACGTTATATGGAGAACGTGGACATATGACGACAAATTTTCCTTTCTCTATTTTAACATGGGTAAAGCCCTTGAGAATTCAACTCCAAATTTGTCACCTACATTTGACGAATTGAATTGATCCAAATAGACGCCATAAAGTTTGAAAGCACGCAAATTCATTTTTTTAGTGATGTTTTCACTGCCGTCGTCGTCGTAGTTGCTGAAGGTCCCTAATGACATTCGCGGGTTACTTTTTTACCCGACCAAGGGTGAGGGGTTTTTTTTCCTAATATTACACTAAGGGGAGGATAAACTTTTTTTATGGTTTTACATAACCTAACCGCATTTGCTCCATTTAGGCTCTGTACTGTGGCCAAGCAAGTTGTCAAAATAATGTTCATCACCAACAACAGCACAATGCAACTAATTCTTTGTTCTTTTTTGGATACGGAAAATTACCTTTAGGATCATACTGTGACTCGCTAATTTAATGAAGAAAACAAAAAAAACTAACATTTGTTTTCACTAATAACAACACATAAAAAACTTTTTTTTCAACAAATACTAAGCCCAAAGCAAAGAAATGTGTTTTAAGTTCATGTTTAATCACGGAAAATCGATACAGTCAAAACGCTTCAATGGCAATTAAAGCAGAAGATGGCCGATAGAACTATAATGAACATTTTTGCAATTCCATGGCTTAGTTCTTCATTGTTTTTGTTTATTTTTTAAAATAGTACGCCAAAATAATCTATACAGACTCACGCTACCTTCCTAATTTTACATAGAACCAACACTGTAAAGAAAATCAGGGTTTTGAACTTACTACAAATACCTCTTTGGCTTTTAACCATTTGCATTGTTTTAAGGAGAGAAATTATTATCGAACTGATGAAATTGTTAGGTAAAATCAGACAACTGAACTCACCAAGAGACTGTAATGATGAAATGAGGCGTTAACGTGAAACTTCGTTTTTGCCCTGTACTTGTCCGCGGTCAGTAGTTCGCAAAGGTGAAGTCCTTTAGGAACAGGATAAACAGCTACGTTGCATGAATAACATTTTAGATCATTGACGCACTTGAATGGACACTCAGATTGTTTTTCCACAAAGAATGAAGTTAGTTTTCTTGACTCTAAGATGCTATAAAAGTACACTTCAAAATGCCCGTACGAAACGGGCATGTTCTGATAACGAAAGACAGTATTGTTCGGTTCAATAACAACCGCAACTATAGAAAAATTTATAAGGTAAAAAATAATTAGGAGAGACATTCCAAATGCATTCATTTGTAGTTTTCAGCTGCCTAAAGGATGTTGATGGACCATTAAAGTTGTGGGCTTAGTATCCTAGCCTTTGACTGGACGTGAGGCTAAGGTTGACCTTGTTTTGAGACAAACCTCTTTTCTTTTCTTATGGAAATAATGCTTAAAAAATACGTAGTTAGCGTTAAGAAAAACCTAGTAGTAGTCGTAGTCGTAGTCGTAGTCGTAGTCGTAGTAGTAGTAGTAGTAGTAGTAGTCGTCGTCGTCGTCGTCGTCGTCGTCGTCGTCGTCGTAGTAGTAGTAGTAGTAGTAGTAGTAGTCGAAGTGCCTATATGTTCTAGAATTAACAATTGGTTTCGAGTCTAACCTTATATAACAATGCAGTGCGAAAAAAGAAAAATATCTGAACTTTATCAAAGAAATGAGTAGAAATTACAGATGTGTGGAATTTGTAAATCTCTCCATGAGCTCCCTTGGCGTTTTGTCCGATGAATGCTCCTCGTTCTTAGTCGTGATGAATGACATTGGCATTGATAAAAAGCAGCAACTTTATATAATCAAGAAAATGATAAATATAGCCCTCAGAGCAATATATTACATCATTTGTTGTAGAAATAGGAATTAGGTTAGCCCAGACTTAATGCAATTTTGATTTCTTTTCTTTTCTTTTTCTTTCTTTCTTTTCTTTTCAGTTGAATAATCCAATCTCAAGAGGCATTTGTAAATTGCCTATACGTAGCGAGATTTACAATTGTACATTCAAAAACACAAATAAAGTTTCCATTATATAAATATGAAACTTATATTGTGCATGTACCATACAAATATTTTCATCTACGCAATACAAATTAAAACAATGAAGATACAAAAGTACAAAACTAAGAGTGTTTGAGAGATAAAACTCGTATCTAATTAATCAGGTCAATTAAAAGCCACTTTTAGAGGGCTCTTTTAAAAGATGTAAGGCTCAAAGTGTTTCTGATCTCCACCGGAAGACTGTGCCACTGAGGAGTTTCCGACTGAAAGGCTCGGTCACCAAGTGTAGGTAGGCACCGTGCTTTGGCTGGTACCAAATAGACGTTTCCCATCAATAAGTTTGTTTTTCGGACATTTTGAAAGTAGCCAATATAGAAACTAAGAGTGCAACTATTGCTTTTCTCTCTTCTCTTCCTTTCTCCTCCATGCTCTTTCTTTATATCTTTTCCTTTTCCTTCGCGACTGTGATTGTCGAGATTGTCCGGCGCAAAGTATGTGCCCGTTGGCCCTTTCTCACTCAAATAACTGCAAATCTTGCTTGTTGTGTTTTCAGAAAACTCTGTTAGGTGTAGAAAAAATGTTTTACTTCATCTACCTAACGACGGAGAACGGTACCTTCTCAACACTTGAAAGAGGGCAGAGAATGGAGGAATTTTTCCTCCATGTTTAAGATATCCCATAGCACTTGAGTTTCCCAAGCGTGTGGTAACCATATTCTTGTGAACCGCCTGTATCTCCAAATCTCAGCTGTAAAACTGGGAGATGAGACTTTTCAGTAAGAAGACCGCTGTCTTCGCGCAACACTTCATCATTTTTGTCGCAGTTACATTCTCGGCTGCTGTCTGTACATGAACTGGTCACCCCGCATGCGCACTTGTAGGAATCCGCAGGGGTTGCCCCTCCCCAGTACGTCATTTGAACGTAGTCACGTGAGACCCACCATGTTTCCGGGTTCCCCATATACATTAAGACAGCATGATGACATTCGTACTTGATAAACTGCTCACAATGTGTAGAGATGTCCAGAAGACCAAACAATTGTGCACCGCTTGTCAGGCCTGCTGCTATGTAATGAATATCACGTACATAGCTTCCTGGAGATTCATAGCCATTAACGAGAGTCCTGGTTTCACTGTCGTGACCAACAACTGTCACGCCAACTCCGTTTTTGTCTGTCATGTCACAATGGACAGTAAATGGTTGGTACTGTAATGTACGACCAAACCACACCATGTTGAGTGTAACAACTGATTTAATTAGTTACCCGTCATGCCTAGTACAGGCATGGCATTAACATACATCACATCTCTCTTTCTCCAACAAAGACCGAACTAATAATAAACAATGAATAACAAAATCAAATAACAAAAATAATAAACAATAAATAACAAAATCAGTTCGAAATCAGTTCAAAAACTCGTAAGATCAAATTCACAAGTTCGCATTCAGCATTCAACGTTCCATTCAATTGCTCCATTCCCTTCAAGTGTAACAGTCCTTTAGGTATGATGGGGTCTTAACCAAACGTCCCGACCTGGTCACTGTAACAGGTTCTTCTGCAACCGCTACTGGCTTAGCGGCTTGGCTTGGCTTAGCTACTGGCTTAGCGGTTTCCCTCTGCACGTTAGTTGGAGGTAAGGTTATCTCAGTCTGCTCTGGTCTGGCCTCAAATTTCTGTTCTCCTGGTGCCCTGTTGCGATTGAGGTGTCGTCTGTTTCTGCGATATTTCCTTCCACTTGCTGTCTCAACTACGTAAGATCTAGGAGTGTGATGTTTGTATGACACTACAGCCGGTACCCACTCGTCTCTGTGTTTCATCGTGACAGTATCTCCAGTTTGAAGTGATTCCAACTCCCGTCCACAGTGTCGATCAAAATAATGTTTTTGCGTTTCTTTCACTTTTTGAGCTTCCTGACTACTTCTTCCTGTCCTTGCGGTCTCAACAATTCTGCAGTGGTAGGTAATGTTGTTTTCAGACGTCGACCCATCATCAGTTGACCTGGGGACTTGTTAATTGCGTCAAGTGGCGTGGTTCGATAGCTAAGCAGGGCTTTATTTATGTCGACGGACTTTGACATCAAGTTTTTGGTTGTTTGAACTGCTCTTTCAATTTGTCCATTTGATTGCGGGTAGTGAGGGCTGGTTGTTGTGTGCGTGAACTCATAGTCCTTTGCAAACTCCGCAAACTCGGCTGCTCCGAACTGAGGCCCATTGTCGCTTACGACTTCATCGGGTATACCATATCTTGAGAAGTGCTTCTTCAGTGCATTAACTGTCGCCTTACTGCTTTGGTTTTCGAGTTGGTCTACTTCCATCCACTTAGAATAATAGTCAACAGTACACAAGTAGTGATGACTGTTCATTTCAAACAAATCTGTGCCTATTTTTGCCCATGGCCTGTTTGGGGAATCATGTGGTATCATTGGTTCTTTGGCTTGCTGTCTCTGGTGCTGACTGCATGTATAGCACTTGGCTACTTTGTCTTCAATTTGCGTCGACATCCCTGGCCAGAACAGCACATCTCTCGCTCGCTGTTTGCACCTGACAACCCCAAAGTGCCCCTCGTGTATTTTTGTCTAACATTTCTGACTGCAGGGTGTGAGGCACTATCACTTTCGGCCCTTTAAACAGCAGTGCATCAATGACTGAAATTTCGTCTTTTGTACGCCCAGTACTGTCGGAGGTCTGGGGACAGCTTTGCTTTGCTATCTGGCCATCCCTCTAGTACTGTGTCAGTTAGGGACTGCAATACTGGGTCTGCTGCTGTAGCTTGTTGAAGCTCTAGATACTTTTCCTGTGAGATGGGAAGATAAGCTGTGAGACACACGTCACTGACTTCTAAGTCCTCCACGAGCGTTTCTTTGGTTTCTGGCAAGTAATGGCGACTAAGGGTATCTGCTAGTTGCATTTCATTCCCAGGCTTGTATGTAACCTTGAGGTCATACCTTTGTAGGCTCATCATCATCTTCTGCAATCGCGGAGGTGCCTGATGAAGATTCTGTGCTAAGATCCTCTCGAGCGGTTTATGGTCAGACTCCACGTGCACTGTTCGTCCATAAACGTACTGATGAAACTTCTGGCAGGCGTAAACTATTGCAAGTAACTCCTTCTCAATCTGTGCAAACTTCTGCTGCGCAACAGTCAAGGCTCTAGAAGCATATGCAATCGGCTTGTTCTCTTGTAGCAATACTGCACCAAGTCCGTTAGCACTAGCGTCAACGTTGAGGGTGACAGGCTTGTTTGGGTTGTAGTAGCCCAGTACCGGAGATTTGGTTACCATCTGCTTGAGTGTTTGAAAACTTTGTTGCTGTTCTTTGTTCCAACGCCAGACTACTCCTTTCTCCAATAGTCGTCTGAGAGGTGCACTTTCAGCAGCTAGATTAGGCAGAAATTTTCCAAGGTATTGGATAAAACCTAGGAATGTTCTGAGTTCTTTAACATTCTGTGGTGGTTGCATCGCTTCGACTGCTCTGACCTTCTCTGGGTCCGGTTTCAAACCCTCACTGGTCAGGAGATGTCCTACATAGGGGACATGGTCTTTCCTCACTTGGCATTTCTTGCTATTTAACTTGAGACCAACCTCTCTCGCTCTGTTTAGGATTTGTCTCAACCTTGCATCGTGCTGGTCAGTACTGCTGCCCCAGATCAGTATGTCATCCACAATTGCTCCTGCAATGGGCTCTGCTCCAGGTATGCCCTCCAACATCTCGGTCATGTATCTCTGGAACACCTCAGGGGCCGATTTGATTCCGAAAGGGAGCCTTTTAAATCGATACCTCCCGAAGGGGGTGTTGAACGTGCACAACTTCGAGCTTTCCTCGTCTAATTCTATTTGCCAGAATCCTGATGTTGCATCCAACACAGAGAATACTTTGGCATCTGGCATGTCTGCAACTATCTCTTCAATCGTCTTCATAGGGAAGTGTTCTCGTTTAACAGCTAGGTTTAAATCTCTAGGATCTAAACAGATGCGAATCTTATTCGGCTTGACCACAGTAACCATACTGCTAACCCATGCTGTTGGTTCGATTTGCCTCTCTATCACTCCTGCTTTCACCATTCTTTCAAGCTCATCTTTGATTCTGCCCTTCAGTGCAACCGGTACCTTTCTTGGTGGATGTACCACTGGGATGACTGTTGGGTCAATTCTGATGGTATGTTTACCTGGTAAACATCCAAGCCCGTGGAAGAGATCTGGATATTCTAGTAGAATATCTGGACGTGCATCAGTAATAACCGACGAGTCTATGACAGAGTTCACCCGCTGGACTAAATTGAGATCCTTGCATGCTTGTGCACTTAAGACGGACAGCACATCACCTTCTGCAATGTAAAACTTCATGGGGTACGTTTTGTCCTTGTGTTCGCATAAGAGTGTTGTGCAACCATGAATAGGTATCTGGTGACCAGAGTATGACCTTAACTTGGCTGCTGTAGGTTGAATTGTTGTCTCCCTCCTAGAGTCTTTAACGTCGTTAAAGACATAACATTGCATTTCGCTCCAGTGTCTAACTGAACAATAACTTTCTTGTTGTTGACGGTCAGCTCTTCGCGCCATTCACTGAGGCTAACTGCATTTACTGCGTCTATACAACCCACATAAAACATGTCATCTTCACTTTCGCTGCTGGTTTCTTTTGTCCGAGCTTCATCGCCACTTCCGCATTTTTCCACATATCGGACAGTTCTTCTCTTCTCTCTTGACTTGCAGACTTTGGCAAAATGATTTAACTTGGCACAAATCAGACATTTCTTTCCCTTAGCCGGACATTCTGCTTTACTGCTGTGTATGTAGCCACACATTCCACACTCCTGTTCAACTCCCGGTCTGCCAAGTTTCCTCTTGTCCAATTTCTCACTCTGCCTTCGAGCTTGATTCACTTTAACAGCGTGAATCTTGCTGTCTTCGTCCTCCATGGTTTTGAGTTGCGTTTGAGACATTTCCAGTGTGAGTGCAATTTCAACCGCTTTCTCTAACGACAATTCAGATCCTTCTTGTATCAACTTTTCTCGCACTTTCTTGGAGTTGCAACCAATGACAATTCTATCCCTGACCATTTCGCCTGGATCTGCATATCCACAATCTTTCACTAGCAGCTTGAGGTCAATAAGAAACTGTTCGAATGGCTCATTATCGCCCTGAACTTTCTTGTGAAACTTGTATCTAGCAAATACCTTATTCGATTTCGGCTTCACATGGGCTTCGAACCTCTCGTAGTAGCTGTTAAGCTTTTTCTCCTCTCCATCTCCAAACGTCCAGGTCTGATATATGTCTCTTCCCTTTTCTCCTACCCAAATCATGAGATAATTGCATTTCTGTTCCTCCGATTTCGACTTTAACGGTCCGCCAAACATAAATTCAAGATGGCGTCGAAACGACTTCCACGCAGTCGGTAAATCCTTGCTGTTCCAGTCCATTTTTGGTGTATTTGCCGATGACATTTCCTCCATTTCTTCTTAAACGTGATACGGAACACTTTTTCACGATGGATGGCTACTCTAACGGGTCATTCAACTCGATTTACTCCTGGTACCATGTAATGTACGACCAAACCACACCATGTTGAGTGTAACAACTGATTTAATTAGTTACCCGTCATGCCTAGTACAGGCATGGCATTAACATACATCACAGGTACCCTCCTTCTCCATCGGGGTCGATAACATAAGAGCCGCTTGTGGCTTGTGAACTGTACAGTTTTGTTTCACTGCATGTTTTACCTTGATAGATAAAAACAAAAAAAAACTAAAATGAAATTAATTACTCTGCGATCCCTCAAGTAAAATTCCATAATTACAGGGGTACTTTGGCCCGTGCACGTCCACACAAATCCTGACATTAATGAAACCGCATATTTTTTCCCGAATTCGGGTGGACGGGGCCTTAAAATTATCTGGGGAAGCGGAGTCAAAATGATGCGGTTTCGGTGAGCGGATTCAGTCTGGTTTCGTGTGGATGAAAGGCTGATTGGTATAAACCATGTACAACAAAATGCAGTTTCCTAATAAACCCTGTGGTACGTCAAGTGAATATATTCACCCACTTTATCTCATTTCTTTTTTCTTTTTACCCATTCCTAAAATTAATATTTTGTACAAATAGATAGTCATATTGCACTTTCTAACACACAGTACTCTTATCCCACGGATTTGGTACGACTATGACCCCTCCTCCCATCCCACCTTGGTCAATGCATGTTGCCCAGTCGGGGGCAGCAATAATCCAGCTTGAC